TTCCTTGTGTTGTGCAAGTGGAGCCATGCCTATTCAGAATACTTCTCCTGCCCACAAAAACTCAGATGAAGACAAAGACATAGCAGGCAAGCTTATAAAACAGGTAAATACAAGAAAGCAACGGACAATTACCACACGAGACGACAGACCAAAGACTGAGAGAAGAACTCGATAGGCAGGAAGCGTTGGACAAAACTGGGAGAACAATTTCTCTAACTAAGGTATAGAGCTGTCTCTAATCTCATTCCATGTTTTTCCAGAGCAACAACAATCTCTACAATTTGGTAGTGAGACGTGCTTTCTGCCAGTTAGCCATTTATCCCACTCACAATATTAAAAACACATTGTCCAGTGAGTGGTGGCCCTGAGGTCATAAAGCTGTGAGGGGTTGAACCCGCAAGTTCACACCCAGGCTCTAAGGTACTATTTTTTTAAATCCATGGGAATTTTCTATTTCTCACTGTGGGCCGACCCACAGAAAGTGTTTTATCTCTAGGACTGTTAAAACTTGTCTAACGGACTGTAAAAAGCCACTTGAGTTAATAATGGCTGCTGTTGTGAGATACTTTGTATGTGGTTCCAACCCACGGTGACCCCTAGACGTGGCCCGGTGGGTGTTCTGGGTCATGATCCTCGTAAAAGCAGACCACCAAGTCATCCTCCTGCAAAGGTGCCACGTATGTTCCAACCTCCACCCTTTCTTCAGGCAAGTGTGTAAGTGTTTTGCTGTCAGGGCTCCCAGAGGAAGTTGTTGTTGTTGTTAGGTGCCCACTTACAGTGTCATGAAGCACTGCCCGGTCCTACCAGGTCCTCACCTTGTTAGGCTTGATCCCATTGTTGCAGCCCTTGTGTGACTCCATCTCCTTCGCAGCCTTCCCCTTTCTCCCTGACCATCCCCTTGATCAAGCATGATGTCCTTTTCCAGGGACTGGTCTCTTCTGATAACATGTCCAAAGCACGAGACCAAGTCTCACTCCTCTCACTTCTAAGGAATATTCTGGATGTACCGTGTAGACTCCTGTATAAGCCGAGTTTCTCAGCACATTTTTAATGCAGTTTTTAATGCAGTGGTAGAATTAGGTGCCTCGGCTGATATTCGGGTCGACTTATACTCGAGTATATGTATATGCAGTATTTCTTCCAAGACAGGTTTATTTTTTCTCCAGTCATCTCTCAGTACTTTAGTCTCTACCAACACCCTCATTTAAATGCAGCAATCCTTGCGTGGTCTTCCTTTTCATTGTCCAACTCTCACTTGCACATGACGGAATTGAAAAAAAAAACCAAAAGCAAAACATGGCTTGGGTTAGGTGCACCTTAATCCTTAAAGTGACCTCCTCTCTCTTCAACGTAATAAAGAGGTCTCGTGCAGATTCGCCCAATGCAATATTTCATTTGATTACTGCTTCTGTGAACATTGACATGATTGTGAATCCAGGCAAGACAAAATCCTTGACCACGTCAGTCTTTTCTCCTTTTATCACTCATCGGTCCGATGAAAGGGATTTAGATCCCAGGAAAAGGATGTCCTCGACAGCTTTGCTCGTTTCTCCCTTTACCATGATGTCATCTACTGGTAGGGCTGTGGAGAGTTGAGGGAATGAGTCACTGGGGCTGGGGGCTCAGGGCCATAGTCTTGGGGGACGCCAAGATCAATTGGCATAACATAGTTCCCAAAGACAGTGTTCTGTATTCTGCTTTGGTGAGTAGCAAAGGGAGTCTTAAAAGCGGATGGGGGACTACCTAAGGGGCTCTCTCCCCATCTGGAGCCAAGAATAACGAGGAACATCAAAGATGCATGGAGCAGTTAGGCTCACGGACTAACAGACCACACAGGTTTCGACCTCAATAACCCCAAGAGCAGAAGAACGAATTCCTGTCCCCTATGGAAAGGGATCATTATAAAAGGTCCTGGTTAGAGTGGGAGGAAAATGTGTAATAATCACTCAAAATCACACAGAAGAGCAGGCTTACCGGTCTGATAGAGACTAGCACAACCCATGAGACCATGGCCCCAAGACCGACTCCCAGACTCACCCTCCCTCACCCCCGTTCAACCTTCAGCCACATGCTGCTGCTGCTGCTGCTGTTTTTATGTGCCGTTGAGGCAGTTCTAACTCATGAACAAAACGCTGCCCGGTCCCGCACCATCCTCACAGTTGTTGTATTTGAGCCCATTGTCGCAGACACCGTGGCTTCTTCCTCTTTTTCACTGCCCCACGACTTTGCCAAGTGAAACATGCTCTTTCCTGATAGCAGTTCAGAGTACACGGAGGGTGTCATCACTGGGGAGCAGATCAATAGAACTCTATCCCTAGAGCCACGGATTCAAACCATCAGCGGACGGTTAGTGCCTGAGCGCTTAATCATTGAATCATCAAGGCTCTTTTGCATGAAACCGATCCCTCTTTTCTGAAGCCCTTGCCTTGCCCTTGACTGGGTATCATGCCTGTGCTGCACACCGAGTTTCCTTTGTCAAGACCTAGAATCAGACCGCTTTTTACTGTTCTGCTATGGTGCCACCCTAGTTTCCCAGGCAGCTGGCAGGAACAAGTGGGTCCGACCTTCCACCAAGGAACTTTAAGTGGTAAGAGTAAAAAGAACAAGCTTTATCCAGTCTTTTTAAGGTGATGGCCCTTGAGCTGCCATTGGCAGTCCCCAATCATTGCAAACCCATCTCGTGTATTTCCCTTCTTTACACACTGCATGGATTTCTAGTCCCAAGAATCAGGAGCCACCTCCACCCCCACCCCCACCCCCACCAAGAGGTTTAAAGTTCAAATCTTGTCAAGGGCCCCTCTGCTCCTTAAGCAGCATCCTTTTCCCGAGTGCTGTGTACCTGGACGAGGAGCTCTGGTGGTCTGGTGGTTACACGTTGGGCTGGTAACCCCAAGGCTAGCAGTTGGAAACCCCAGCTGCTCTGCGGGAGACAGATGGGTGCTTTCTGTGCCTGTAAACCAGTGGTTCTCAACCTGTGGGTCGTGACCCCTTTGAAAGTTGAACATCCCTTTCACAGGGGCTGCCTAAGACCATCGGAAAACATAAATATTTCACAATATATATTTACATATTGTTTTGTGATTAATCTCTATGCTTTAATTATGTTCAACTTGTGGCAATGAAAATATATCCTGCATATCAGATGTTTGCATGATGATTCATAACAGTAGCAAAATTACAATTATGAACTAGCAAGGAAAATAGTTTTATGGTTGGAGTCACTACAACATGAGGAACTGTTTTAAAGGGTCGCTGCACGAGGAAGGTTGAGAACCACTGCTGTAAACAGTTACCCTTTCGGAAACGCACGGGGCGGTTCTGCCCTGGCCTCCGGGGTAAGGTGATCAGATTTTAACATTGGTAAAGTGGGACAAAAGCAGGACACCATTGATAAAACTCATATCCTGGCGAAATAACCACATGGCAGCCAAAAACCGTATACCCTAGCTTGTCGTGCATTCTTTCCAAAAATCGGGACTTTTTAAAAACGGCACGGGATGTGGGAAAAATTGTTAAAAATCGGGACTGTCCCGCTAAGAGCGGGACGCCTGGTCACTTTACTCTAGGGTCCCCATGAGAGGAGAGCGTTGACTCGCTGGCAGAGTTTGGTCTGGTTTTTAGGTACCCTTCGAGGCCCCACTGTGTGGAGAGACCAGGTAAAGAAAACCAAGCAAGACTGTTAGTGCACCTGACCAGAAAGATGGTTGCCCACCCCAGGTTCATTTCCTGTATGAAGAGATGATGCCCATGTTTGCTGGATTATCGGCTGTGGTGCCATTGTTATCAGAGCTTACAGTGGTGAGATGTAGGGTTGCAGAAGGCTACAGATGACAGTGATGCATGCTGCAACCTGGACGAGCCCCGAAAGTATCCGTGTGACAAATCGAAGCTCCAAGCCGCTGCCGCTGAGTGGATGCCAACTCGGATGCCAACTTGTCGCCACCCTTAGGCCAGGGCAGAACACCCCTGTGAGGGCCTGAGGCTGGAGTGCTTTACAGGAGGAGAAAGCCCATCTTTCTCCTGCTGTGTGAAATCAATTAGTCACAAGAGGTCAACTTCTACATGGTATTACTTTGATGAAAGAAGCAAATGTATAAAACATACCCCCCCCCATCACGAAGTTGATTTTGACCCATAGTAACCCTGCATAGGGCTTCTGCAATGGCAAACCTTTACGGGAGCAAACAGCTTCGTCTTGCTCCTCAGCGCCACCAGGGACCGTGGAAGCCAATGGATAAAACCCGAAAACCAAACCCACTTCCATCGAGTTGATTCTGACTCACAGGGTTTCTGGCCCTGCAGATCTTTACAAAAGCAGTTAGCGTTTTGCCTCGGGAGCAGCTGGTAGATTTGAACTACTGCCCCTTGGGGTTAGCAATCCAATGTCAAGCCTACAACATCACCAGGGCTCCTTAAGCAAATCTGGAGAAATCAACATGTATTTGTAGAGCAGAGAGAAGGGGCAAAGGGTTGTTTCTGCCCCAGGGGACATTGAGTTGAGGCAAATGGTGGTGGAACACTTTGGAAAGCGACAGACTGGCCTGACGACTTTAAGAATTTAATTATTTTGAGAATGACGAGGGCAATGAATGTACAAATATGCTTTACACAATTGATGTGTGTATGGATTGTGATAAGAGTTGTATGAGCCCCTAAAACGATAAAAAAAAATGGAAATGGATCATGCTGATGATTGCACATCATGATGGAAATAATTGATTTCACCGAATTGCAAATGTGAAAAATGTTGCATAGAAATTTCTTTTATGTGTCTCTATATGCATGCGTGTATATACATACACACACACACACACACACACACACACACACACGCATGCTCATATCCACCATAATAAAAATAAATAAATTTTAAAAGTTTTTTAAAGCTTCATGCTATGGTATAAAGGACAGAAAAAAAAAAGAATTTTATTAGCTTCAATGAATGACACGAGTGGAAAGTGGTGTGGACCAGTCCATCTTGTTCTCTTTCTGTACTGCAGAGATTCACCTGGACCCCTCCCGGACCTGGTGCCCCATCGCTGACTGCCAGACGGTGTGCCATGTGGCCGCGAGTGAGCCGGGGCAGCCTGTGCTGGTCGAGTGCCCTTCTTGCCACCTGAAGTTCTGCTCGTGTTGCAAGGATGCTTGGCATGAAGATGTCTCCTGCAGGGACAGCCAGCCCGTCGTCCTGCCCACGGAGCACGGGTAAGAAAGCAAACTGCTCTGGGGCGATTCTCACTGTGCTTCTTAGAGAAGGAGATTGCTTGTGCTGGTGGCTTATTGGTGTTGCCAGCTGCTGCCAGGCCCCCCAGCTCATGATGAGCCCAGAGGCATCGGCGTGAAATGCTGCCTGGTCTTGCTCAAGCCCCGGGGGGTGGATTGCAGACAGGACAGTGGTGATCCGGCGGGTTTTCACCATATGATCTTTCAGAAGTGGATCACAGGCCTGTCTTCCTACTCAGCCTTATCCTCCATGGACAGATAGGCAGCATGAAGTG